TACTGAGAGAAAACAAAAGATAAAAGAAACTAAAGATAAAAAAATATTTATGCGGTGGGTACTAATAAATTTATTTACTAGTAGTATTTATTTATCTATTAGTATTTATTTACTAGTAGTATTTATTTATCTATTAGTACTACTAGTACTAATAGATTTATTTACATTAATATAAATATGTTTTAAAAATCCTTCATTTCAAATTATATATATATATATTTTTTTTTTTCAATCATTGAAAAAATCCTTCATTTCAAATGATATATATATTTTTTTGAAAACCGAGATCTTATAACATATCGATATATTGAGTTTATCAATTACAATTCTTTAACCCTGAAATCGTAATTATCATGTTTCAGGTTCAAGCGGGTGGAAATCAAATCAACTATCGCGGCAGTCCTCTGCCGCTCTGCCAATCGCCAATCTGTACAAATTCCCTGCATTATCAGCGACAGATGCAGCAGACGTGCAATTACAGCCAACCTCATCAGCCACACCAACAGAACTGCTATCCCTCTCAGCAATCCACTCAACAGCCCTGCTATCCAAATCCCGTCTCTTCGCCCTATGGTCAATGTCCGAATTCACGCGCAACTCAACCACCGTCACAATATTGCCCACCGCCAAATTATGGATCTCAAGTCATCGGCCACGTGCCGGCGAGCCCAGCCTCCGGTCAGGTTATGTCGCCGAGCTCTAATTACGCCCCAGCTCATTTGAGCGATCAGCCACTTACGTCTCCCGCAGCAGGCGCTCTGGCGCCGCAGCATGCGCCGCAAAACCTGCCGCAGAACTCCGCACAGCTCACCAGAAACTGCCCCCAGAATCACACGCACCACACTTACTACCCGAGTTATGGTTGTGCGGGTCAGATGAACGCGAACTGTACCGGCAACACCACCGGTCAACCCAATCACCATTCCAGCCAGACCTGCGCGCCGTCTAATCACGCCGTGCAGATGAGGCTAACAACCAATTGTCAGCAACTATCGCCACACTGTACGCAACCATCCGCGCCCATGGCCGCTCCGTCGAATATGACCCACCCGAATTCGCAGTGCAACCAGCCGCCTGGTCAATGCACGAGGCCCATAGTGACGTCCAACGGTCAGCTGCCCAACGTCCACTCCGCCCAACAACCCCCGGTGACGAACCAGTGTGGCGCAATGTCACCGCATTGCTCCCAGGTGAACCTCGTGAACCAACAGGGCAAGCCAATAAACCCTATGCCGAATCTCCAAAACTGCCAACAGCAGGCCCAAGCGTCGCCCTGCTTGCAGATCGCCAACTGCACGCACCCCAATGGCGCGCATCGTGCAGTGAACGACGGCGGCGCGTCTAAGAGAACGTCGCCGCAGCTTTGCAATACTCAACAGACCAACTGCAGAATGCAGCAGCCACACAATCAGCAACAGCAGCATCCAACGCAGCAGCAACAGCAGCAACAACAGCAACAGACTTGCACGCACAATTGTCAAGCACGCACGAATCCCCCGACTCATCAGCAGTACAACTGCAACTGCCAATGGGCGTATGGCAACCAGTGCTATCACGATCAACACGGCGGACCATTGCCAGAGATACAGTGCAGAGACATCAGTCAGTCGCAAGGCTCGCCAATAAAGCTGCCACAAGGTATGAGGCAGGATTCTTATCGTAGAACACTGGAGTACGTTCAGCAATGTAGGAATTGGTCCGGTAACTCGCAGACGCATGAGACTAATGTGTCCAGCTCGACGCATCCGATGTCGTTGCCACAACCGCTTCCAGCCAGCGCTAACATGATTGTTAACGACATGACGTCCTCCCTCAGCTCTTTGCTGGAGGAGAACAGGTATTTGCAGATGATCCAATGACCGTTACGTACCTGTACATGATAAGAAGCGTCACGAAAAGCTCGTGTTGTCGTCCATCGGCGAAGCGATCGCTTCTGCGATTCATCACTCGACTCGTTGCCGTCGGCAACGTGAGTGTCACGTGTTCAACACGAAACTTATGTTTCACATGAGCCACAAGCGAAGGCACTTTCAAACCTGAAAAGCTCGAGAAAGGAATTTATGTAGTGTGATATAACGTAAGTCTCGTCAAGATAAAATTAACTTTTCACTTGGACACGGTGGCGATCCGCTCGGCGCAGCATTAGCACCGTTTCCAAAAAAAAAAAGAAAGTTCTTTAGTACGGTGATCTGTTTAAGTTTAATGAACGTTTATAAAATTGCGCGGGTAAAGTTTGTACAGTCACGACGGATACAAAAGTGCCTTGATTGTGAATAGCGCGCATTTTGGAGAAGTGCCACCGACTTAAGTTATTACTCCGGAAAGTATCAACTTACAACATTAAGTACCTCGAAGATTCGACTCGTAGTAATTTAGAATTTAGTCGTTAAGGGACGAAGGTGCTCTGCGCTCGACAGAACGAAACGCAGAAGAGCATCGTATATCTCTTTTTTTTTACGATAGATTACGTATCCCATACGATTTTAACAGATCGCAGCGTTGGACGTGCGCTGAATATTTTTGAGAGAACTCTGTACTTTAAATTATTGTAGATATACCTTTGATATAGTATATTTTTTGTACATCGGTCTCATTATATGCGAAGTGTGCCAATATAGTAATACACTGTCTTCTTATCGTAGCTAAGCTCGACGATGAGTAGTGTACTGGCGTACACTGTGATAAAAACAAGAGAGAAGTAAAAAATTCGAAACAAGAAAGGGAGAGAGAGAGAGAGTGAGAGAGAGGGGGAGGGAGAAGGAGAACAAAGCGCGCGTAAACGGTCGTTAGTCCGTAAAACAGCGGAAATAGGGAAGTGTAGAATGCGGGTGATCCTCGATGAAAACCCAGAAGAAGGTCAATATTAAGATAGAGACGTGTAGATAAAACTAAGACAGTTACGCAACTGTCGCTGAGAGAACAAGCGTAATTGTTTGAGTATGCGTGTGTATGTGTGTATGCACGTGTGTTTCTAGATCGAGTGTCTTTCGTAGCGACTACTTTTGTAAAGAGACTTAAGATAACAAGTTACACACATGCACACACAATCTCGCCGTGCGCGTGAAGTGGATCGAAATGTTCCAATCGTGGTGGACATTAACTAAAAATTAAATTGCGATTTCTGTATTGAAACCAGAGTTGAGAATAATTAATTACTTTTTTCATTAACTGTCCAGTTTAATTAGCGATTAATATAAGTCAATTTAATTAAAGACATTTTAATTAACCATTGATTTTGACAAACTTAATAAAATATAGTTCAATTGACTATTGATTTAAAGCTATTCAATTAAATATCATTGAATTGACAATTGATATGAGCAAAAGTAACTAAAGGTTGTTTAATTAACGATTGAACTTAGTTGATTTAGTCAAAGACTATTTAGTTAATGATTGATATGAACAAATTCAATTGTAATCGTTTTCATCAACTAAATGTGCCAACTAAATGTGACACATAACAATCTCTGAAGTATTGCATACTATACATATTTTCAATATACTTTCTCTTGGAGTATTTAATATATTCCTTCCGAAATGAATCTTTATAGGCAAAATTGCGTGTAACGTGCGAACGATCAAATGCACCTAACAATTTTCTTTTCTGGCTTTCCAAACAGAAATGCAGTAGAACTAATAGCATTTATCAATAGAACGGAAAATGTCTTTCAAGATCATAAATAAATATATAATAATGCTATATGTATATTGATAGTTATACAAATTCAGAAGTCAGTATTGTTCAATTTATCAACATGTAACGGTTATTGGTTCTACTACATCTTTGTCTAAAACTCCAGAAAAGAAAGCCATTACATGCAAAACGGCGCCTGATCGTCCGCATGTTTTTACGCGTGATTCCAGGTAACCCAATCTACAAAAGAAGATTTTGCGCAGTGTCTGCTGCAGATCTTCAGCAATTTACTGGTAAAAGTACAATAGGATCTGATGGCAGAGTTCAATGTCGTCAGATTCTGTCAGCAAAATCTGTTAACACAACGCGAGCCAAATGCGGACACAAGAGTTGTTAATAAAACTTTGGTTAAATTTGCCAAGTTCAATACTTAACGACTTTCGTTCCATTCGCTAATATCAATTAATTAAACGGTATTCGATTAAATTTGCTCATATCAATCGTTAATTAAAGGTAACTTAATTAAATTAAATTTACTGAATTCAATCGTTAGTAGAATGACTTTTGATTCACTTCATTCATGTCAATCGTTAATTGAAAAACGTCTTTAATTAAATTTGTTAAAATCAATCGTTAATTAAATTGAGTCTGCTCCAATCAATCACTAATTAGTTGAATTAGTTGAAAAATATTTGTTCAAATCAATTATTTAATTGAGAAAAATTTTAATGATATTTTGACATCTCTAATTGAAATCATAAAAAACCTGTTGTAAAATATTTAAACTATTAATTAATTTAAATTAACTTAAGACTAAATTTCAAAGTTGCATAAAGAAGGATATAAAAAAACCAGTTTCTGCTCAAAAAGATATAAGTAAAAGAAATAATATTTTTTATAGATTTTGATCTTCCCTGAGAATACAATAAACCCACACAACATTATGATGTCTTAAAGACGTCTTAAAAAATTTCTGACGTCTTAAAAAGACATCTTTATGACGTCTTTAAGACATCTTTCTGGCAACGTCTTAAAGATATTTAAAATAAGACGTCTTTTAGACATCTTTTGGTAATGTCATAAAGATGTCTTAAATAAGACGTCTTTAAGACGTCTTTTAGATGTGCGTGTTGTGTGGGAAGCTATTAAAAAGTTTGGGGTGTTTTGGAAACACTGAAAATTGAGCAAGAAAATGTATAAAAATTCAGTTGATATATAGAACTATCACAAACCGCATCCCATTGAGTTTTAGGGACAGAGGAAGGAAAGGTATTTTGTGTGTGTGTGTGTGTGTAAGGGAAAATGTGTGTAGACAACTGTGTACATGAGAAAGGGGGTTTGGGTAAGTTACAATCAGATTAAAGAGACTACCACACAAATGTATCCAGTGAGATGGAAGGTGTGTTTGTATTTGGAAAGAGGGGATAAAGAGGATTGTGTATCTGTGTGTTTGTGGAGTAAAAGGTTGTGTGTGTGAGACTGAGTGAAGGAGGGATTAGGTTTAATTAGGTCGGATTATTAGAAAACTCCCTCAGGCCTTTACTTTAAATCTTTTAACAATGTTGCACGATAGAAAGGCTGGACTTATTTAATTTTTTATTACCTAAATCATAAATCGTTTTAAACTACTGCGCTACTTAACAAAACAGCTAAACCGATTTAATTTCTCACTAGATAAATTCTGAATTTTATTAAACATATGTGGAATTCTTATTTGTGCTGCGACATACACACAAACGAGATATGCAACCTCCTTGGTGCATGTTGGTTAATATTACTTCCAGCGATAGCAGTGCGCTTAGAAAAATTGCTGTTAAAAATTAATACAATATTGCATATAATATATGTGTAAGACAAGCTCAATTTGATAACGTGGGTGTAGAAAAAGAATTTTCCCTTAAATTGATAAGAGATACACACTTCATGATTATGTATGCATAATTATTTCGCTTTAGCTGTTGTATTTCATCTCCACAAATGCGATGTCCGCTCTTTCCTAGATTTCGATCCACTGTACGCTGATTCGCGAGATTAGTCGACGTTGTACTGCGAGTATTTTCAAGTGCCTTTGTAGCGAGCGTCGGCGGGCAACGGCGCGTCAAACGACCGAAACTGTTTTCTCTTTGTTACGCGAACGACTTTTGTATGAATTTTATAAAATTACGATTGTGAAGCATCTTGTGAATATTATACATATCTACTGTATGGATATTATATAATAATAAGACATGAACACACACGATAGCGGAATAAAGACGTCCGAATTGAATCTCGCATACAGAGAACTGTTTTTACACCCCTGAGAAATTATTTATTATTCATAAGAATAAGTCATACATCGAATCTACAACAATTTCACGTAGTTATGTAAGTCGTACATTATTTGAAAGTAAAAAGATCTTTTGACCTGCCATTAAGTCGTGCTATCTGAAAATAAAAAAATCGTTAGTCGTTGAGTCGTCCATCAATATCGCCTATCCCAAACGTAAAGATTGATACGATGCGCAAAATAAAATTGACCGCTATGTTGTAAATGTCTTTTTTCGGGTGTTTCTTTTTATTCAATTACACATATGAGGTACAAAACAGGAACGGACAGGTAGATCACATGAATTTCCATCAGGAATAATGAGAGAAGATTCGTTTCGCATATGGCGTTGACGCAGAAAAAGAACGCAGAGAGAGAAACTCGGCTTTCTTTTTTCATTTCTTTAACTTTAACATCCAGACAGCATAGATGTCTAAAACACATTTTAGAGACATCCCAAAGACGTCTGCAGCAAATAGAATATCATTCGGACGTCTCTAAAATTTCATTTAGACGTATTAATAGTCATTACTTGAAGTTTGTCTCACGTGAGTTATTTATATCTGAATTTAGACTTGTAATAAAATAGTCATTACTTGTAATTTGCCTTAAGTGATATACTTAGGTTTTTATTTAAATGTGAGTTCTTCAACTGAATCTCGATTACAAATGTAATGTCGCATATATTATATAATTCAAATAAAAGACTTAGCATTCTGTCGCTAAGGATTTCAACTCCAGCATCTCTTTAACGATTAATATGGGCTTTAGAGTTGCATCTGAGTCTTTCAGCTGTATCATATATAATACACGTGACATTATTTCAATAATAGCAATTCAGCTAAAAAAAACTCACATCTAACTCCTAACTCAAATATGAGTATTTCATATAAGACAAGTTTCAAGAAACAGTTACTAATATGGCTATTAATATGGCACTTAGACATTTATATGTTGTATGGACACATTAACCCCGGATTTATTTAGGGGACTCGTAGATTTTTCTTTTATATCAGAGCAACACACGCGTTGCACATTTGTAACATATATTTCCAATAGCTTTCCACTATTAGAAACAAATGCTTACTAGTTACACTTTCCTACGTCTCAAGCGGCTCGTTTCGCGCGAGATAATGAAGTAAGGGGAATAGCACTAAGCGGAGCAGGGCCAGAAAATCGGCCAAAATGTGCAACGCATACTCTGTTCTACATAATCGTATAAAACAGACTCACTTTGATAACGCGGATATAGAGAACAAAATTTTTACCGTTACATATGTGACTCTCGTAAAAGATCGTCACACACGTCCCTGCTTAAAATGTTGGATAGAAAATGATAGAAAATGTCTATCATATTTTATGGTGATTTTGATTCACATATTTCACAACTCATTTACGAAATTTCGAAAGTGAATTCATATACCATGTATTGTCTATAATTGATAAATATAAACTGATTATACCAATTTTTATATTCAATATGATGGAAAAGAGTAGTATCATAAGATATGATTAAACTACATAGATATTCTTTTCATTTTTATCTGACCATTTTGTAACCATCATTATAAGTAGAATTATTATGAAAGAATATTATAAGTAGTTTATTATAAGATAATAATAAATACATAATGCGATATTTACTATGATTCAGAAATATCAATTTATTATACAAACATCAATATTCAAGATGATTGAAAAGAATAGTATCATAGAATATGATTAAAATATATAGAAAGTCTATGTTGTACGGCTTCGGTGCATGATAAGTCGTATAAATCAATATAGGAATTCTATCCATTTTAATCTTATCCAATCGTTTTCTGTCAAATATTTTAAGCAGGAGTGTGACGCTGGTAGCGAATATATTGATAACAAGTTTTTGATGTTAAAAAGGTATTAAAATTAAAGTCGAAAGATACATCGAGAAGGAAGGGCAATACACGTGATGCGCGTAAATCGATATTACGATAAGTGACATTGAACGAGACAAAGAGAAATGTTTGCGTCTCGCAAAATAAACATAGACAGATACACGTGTCTCGCGTACGCAGAACTTCAACTCCGTCTCGCCGAATAATATAAACAAAATGTTGACTAAAATAGCAGTCCTTGCGAGCGGAGAATTGTGAGCGCGTCATGGTGTGTTCGCGTTTGCCGATGACGTCTCGTCTCTCGCAGCGTTCGAGTTTTCAACTTCAGTATTCCGGGTGTCGTCGGTGGATGATGGTTCCGATACCTGCAGTCGAAATCGGGGATGAAAGTTTCGACAATGTGTCATATTTCTCAGAGCAATCAGGTTAAAGCATAAAATGACCAATTCCCCAAAATCCCAAATACAGAACATTTCTTAAATGTTGAAGAACGGAGGAGGGAATAAAAGAGAGATTATTAGAAATGTTTAATTTATACTGACGTAAAATAGTTCAACTACAATAAAAACCAAATCTACAACAAAATACAACAAAAGTAAAAATTTTTGTCAAGATAAAGTTATTATCGTCCTTACTTCAAAATTAAAATAGAAAAAATGAAGAAGTAAAGTGCTGCATTTCTTATAGCTATTTTCTTAAGGAAATATGTGAGTCAGAAAAATCTTAAGAAATTCGACATAAATTTGATTATAGTTTACTTTAATCATTAACTTTCAATACATATTAATTGTAAGCTAAATTTTGAAATATTCCCTAAATCGAAATAATCTGTGAAAGCTCGACTAAGTGTAAAGCAAATCGGCGTTCCAAATGACTTTTAAAATAATCCAGGAGAAAACGTGAAAATTCAAGACTGCCCCAGAAAAATCGGGACGTCTGGTCACTTTATAAAATCACACAGAAAATATCATTTTATTGCTAAGAAAAACGATTAGTCAATTTATTTTACTTCTTTTAAATAATGGTTATTTCCAACAAGAATATTTTTTCAGTAATAGTTTTAAAATATACTCATCACAAATTTGAGAGAAGCTCATTATTATGTATTCAAAAGAAGAATTTATTCTCTTTACAAGAATATCATAAGACTTCATCAAAGAAAAAATTGATTTGACTTTATACTATAGTAAACAAATCGAATTTTTGTTTTAATTTAATATTTTTGGTTAAAATGCTAAACTTACTAGAATTCAGGATATATTTTGAATAAATTTGATGCTTATATGTGATGAACTTGTGATAGATTTATGATAGTGGAATATAAACCTGAGGCATGTAACATTTACTTAAGTGCAGTGTGTATTTTTCTTTGTGGTCGTATATATTCATTGACATTCTAGAAGAAATTGCTTTTTCTTAAGAACAGTATTGCAGTTAAGTTGCTTGCCTGTACTCCATAATTCCAAATGAAATAATAACTAAAACTGTGATTAAATGCCGCCGGTTACAAGAAAAACCAAGTCTTTCTGAAATGTCAATGATTAAGGGAATATCAATGCATTGATGTTTACTCTATGCTTCTCTCACCTGACGGGGTAGATCGGGCAGACTGGAGGGCAACCTACGGCTGGGCAAAACGTCTGGCATGGGCGGTGGGACCGGCGGTTCACCATAAGTCTCGTGAAGTTCCTCCAGTCTGGAGCAGAGAGCGGAGCCTCGTTTACTCGTGGCGTTCATTTTCTTCACCAGCCAATCGGCTTGCTCCTCCAAACGCTTCAGTCGATCGGCTCGCGCCGCCAACACCTCCTCTGGAGTCCGGGATTTAGTTGAGGTGACCGTGGCTTCCTTCTGCGAACTCGACGCGCTTGCCTGCGGCTCTTCCTTCGCCGGCGAGGTGGACGAGAGTGCAGAACGATCAATTATAGGGAATTCCCTGACAGTGTCCAGACTCGAAGAGGAATCCACGGAAACATTGTCGGAGTCCATGACGTTCTCTGTTAGTTTAGGTCGCTGTTCCTTGTACCCCGCCGGGTCTTCGTTCTGACTTGAAGCCGATCGATCGGTCGACGCGACGAAGTTACTCGTCGGGTTTTCCAATTCCGTTATGGCCGCGCCAAACACTGGGGCAAAGAGACGATTAGACGGGCCCACGATCAGTGGATTGCTGAACTGCACACTCTTTATAGACGACACGATGGGTGGGGGGAAGGGCCCGATGGAGAAAACAGGCATCGCGCTGCTTGCATTCGTAGTAGGCGCGGTGGGTACGTGAGAAACGGGCGATAATGGCGGGTTACTTTTGAATTTTGTTATCTCACCGTCGTCGCCGTCGTCGTCGTCGCGCCGCCTCGCCGACGAATCGATCGACGACGATTCAGTTGTGTCGCCGTAATCCATCGCCGAGGGCAGATCGTTACTCGTGGACGTTCGTCTCAGTGTTTTCGGGGCTGGTAACGAACACCAAGATTCGACACTCGGAGCTCGCGGATTTCCATCGTGGACGTCTGTTTTCAAGGTTGTCGTGTGATCGTTTCTCGCGTCGGCCTCGTTGCAGCCGCCTTCGAGCGCGAGATTGTCGCGTGAATCTTCAGAGGTCGTCGAATCTTCCTGCGAATCGCTCTTGCTCAATTCTCCGTCGTCGATTATAAGATTTTGTATAACGTTGGTAAGCGCCTGGTCTAAAGGGTCCAACGTCTCTTGCGTACTTTCTGCGATGAGCTGTTTGAAATCAAACAAATCAACTATTCGTACTTTTTTAAGATGAATTAGTAAAAAATCAGATTCCATCAGATTGAATCGGTAAAAGGGAGATATTTTATCGATAATACTGGTCAGCAGGTAATACTGTCAAAGTGTGTGGCCAAGTTTGGCATATTTTATCTAGAAAAAAGTTTTGAATCTAAATTGGTCTTATTTTATCATTTTTGGCGCACTGATTTACGAATACGTAAGTCTTAAGATGGACCAACGCGACGTACCGTTCCAGAGAAAATGGTTCACTTACAATTTCACCCTACTATAAATGGTGCTATTTATATTCACAAAATAAAAATGTTAATTTGCAATGGAATTTTTTCTTGGTAGCTCGCGTTGACTTTACTGGTTGTTTCAAAATGTAATCAACAAAGTCAATTGATTCAATTTGACTATGCCGACTGTCTGAAATTCCACTAGAGTTAAACGCTTTTGAGATCCTATTCATTCTTTTTCCAGGGACAATTGTCGCTACGACTCGCTAAAGATGATTTTGTCATTTTAAACTGCTATAGTTTTAATTTTTATTTGTGAAAATAAATGGCGTCACTTAGTAGAATTCAATCTTAAATAAGCCATTTTCTCTGAATAAAATGAGCCACTAGCTTATAAGCACTTAGCCTCTTTCTTTTGATCATTTTTTGTCCCACGAAAACGTTTGTGAATAATCATTTACGACGTATTTTTAGCCTCTAAATACGAATCAATTGTTCAAATTTGATATACTGTTAATTCGTCATCTTTTTTTGATATACCGTTAATTAGTCACATGTAATTATACTACCTCTGTTGTGTTCGCAGTTTCCGAGTCGGCATCAGCAACAATCTCGTCCAACTCCGCTTCAGTCTCTGGCGTGGGGGTGCGTTGTTCCAAAGTCGCTGAAGAACCAGTTTTCGACTCAGATAACTCGGTATCTGTTGGCTGCTCAGATTCTGTGTCTGATGTTGGCGCTCTGGGGCTCTCCTATATCCAAATATTTTTTTTTTTTTCTTTATTAAAGAGCAATTAACCGAGATTTGCGTGGGCGATTTCAAATGTGACAAACCTTTCGCGTTCGCCTACGTGGACCGTGTCTAATTCTTCCTTCGACCGCCTCTTCTTCTTCGTCTGTGTCATCGCCTCTCTCGTCACTGAAGCCACTTTCGGCGCTACACATAGAACGATTATCGTTAACGATAGTAATTGTCGAATATTATCATGTCAAATAGTAAAAGTTTATTTCTCTATTAATATATACGTAAATATATATGTTTATATGATTTTTGTACTTAGAATGTCTCCCAAACAATTTATCAAAATTTGTTACACTCATTTTGAATCACTCTGTATATACGTATTATATTATATATATGTGTATATTATACCTGTTGAAAGAATCATGGGCAGCTAAAGCCTTCCGCGCCGCAAACTCGCGACGCAAGTTCCTCCACTCCAGCTCGGTATTCGTATTTTTCTGCCTAGCCGATTCCCACTTTTCTCTGCAGTACTCCAGCTCCTGCTTCAACTCCTGCAACATCTTTCTCTTCTGTTGCAGCTCGTACCTCAGTATCTCCTCGTGCGTGTGCAATTGCTGATGCTGCGCCTGCATACGGCCAACGACACCCCACGTTTTCGTCAACTCGGCCGACACCATGGACAATCTCTTCTCCTGAATACGGCGACAGAAAGAAAACGAAACAGAAATCGGTATCCCCGTCGTACTCTGTTCTCACATGGAACACTTGTCGCTCACCTGTTCACCCAGCTTGCTTTCCAGATGAGTGTTCAGCTGCTTCATGCGATTCATCTCCTTCTCCAAATGTTTCTTCTCGAGTATCAACTCCTTCAGTCGAATGTACGTTTTGCTGACGGATATCACCAGTCTCGGGCCGGCCGGAGTATCCACAGATTTGTAACAGCTGTTCGGGTCCGAGCAGGAGGCTACGGAAACACTCGGAGAGGTCACCGCGTGGCAGCTAAGTAGCTCCAATAAAACTCGCCACACCTACGATATAATTTTGCAATTATCTCAATAAGGTCGACTGAAACGCATTAAATTCTCCAGTGAGACGTGTGACCGTCAACTGTTTTTAGTCTTTTGCTTTAACTGTAAGATTTAATCGGTACTCGGAGACGTAGGCACGCAAAGATTTGATCAAAAATAATCATCTTTATGCGCGTTAACCTTCGGCAAGTTGTGGGCGATATCTTCCTCCTGCAAATCATCTTCCTTCCTGTCGACCTCGCTGTTGCTTTCTGTGCCGTTCTCCCCAGCCGCGTGTCTCTGTGACGCTTTTCCACCCTCGACTTGCTCGACCAAGTCCAAGAGAAGTTTTGGCAAAGCTGCTGCCTCGGTACTCTCCTCCCTAGCTATGTCGCTTATGAGATCGTGATTCTCCTATAATATTACAATCAGCAAAGAATTTAGGTGTACATGCATTGTCCCAAATAAATGTACTAAAATTTAAAAAGTAGGACAATTTCCTAGAAAGTCGTATTATTGAAATCCAGACAATTTCTTGAAAAACAATTTTATCGAAATATTGGGATTATTTTGTCATAAAATCGGCTGCATTAGTATCTACTCATGTAAGTACAATAGAAATATATCAAAATAGGCAGAAATTAATAGATCTATGTACATTATTTTTGAAGTAATAGTTCCTTTTCGAAATAATTATATGCTTCAAGAAAACTGTACTTCGGAATATACTACTAGACTCTTAGGAAAAGTTCACTTTATTTTTTAAATTGCATAATTACGCTTAATAACCAAATTAAACTTTTAAACCATTTATGTATGTTAGCAAACACTTATTATAATATATTGTAAACCTCTATTATATATCTTTAAATACTTTTAAAACTATTATTATTAACTACTTTTATCAATCCTATTAGATCATGTTCTATTCATGTTCTATTCGCATTTATAATTACTATATTTTTAAATTGTTTTTTATTTTTGTTTTATTGCATTTTTCATTTTTTTTTTCTTTTTTTATTTTGTTCCTTTTCTCTATTTTTGTATTTTAATTTTTTATTATCTTATGTATTAAAGGGATATTTTCCCCTTTAATTAAACAAACAAGTAAATATTGTTTTCGTATTCAGACAACGATAATATGATTTTTCTGGAAATTATCTCAGTATTCGAATTTCGAGATTTTGATTTTTCGGAATTATGCATGTCCACCAAAATTTGTAGTCGGTTTCTGCTATAAAATTCCAAAAATTCAAATATTGATCTCGTCTATCGGTTATGAATCGTCGGTTATGAAGCGCAAACAATGATTCGAGATACCTGCAGCAGCTGAGTCAACCGATCGAGATCCATGTCCGCGGAGGAAGCACCGAGCAACATCTGCGTGAACAATCCATTAATGAGTGACATCTGATTCTGGAGATCCCTGCAGTCTGCCTTGGTCAGTCCCAATTGGGACTCCAGATTCGTAATCTCCGATCCTTGAGTGTCGACCTGGTGTGTGTGTGTGTGTATGTGTGTGACAAAATGACGCACTCGTAAGTTTCGCCAAGTCGATAAAGATCAACGGGACTTTCACCAACTTATTACTTTCATACCTTATCTTCGGCTTTCTTGAGCTCCTCTTCCAGGTTCTCAGATTTCTTCAGCGAATACTCCAACTTCTGTCTCGTATCCGTCAATTCCCTGGCCGCGGTGTCTCTTAGCTCGCTCAAAACTCTCAGTCTCTCATTGTAGAGAGTCTTGAGGGCGTTGATGTTCTCCAGTTGCCGGTTGCACTCCGTTCCCACGTCGTCTCTCACTTCCAGGAAACTCCGGTCGCCCAGCCTAACCAGGAGCTGAGCGAGCTGGTCTTTGAGCTCGTTGGTCTGACGTTCGCGTGCTCTTAGAGACTCGCGCGTTCTACTGTTCACTTCCATCAAAGAGTGAATACGATGACGGTGGCGCTCCGGATCGGACTCTAGGTGGTAACGAAGGTCGTCCACCTTCTCGATTTGGTATCGTATGTCATTTCTCAGCACGTCGGAGACCTAAAATAAATGCGTCTGTTTGAATACTCGTTTCCAAAAGGTTTAAATACTTTTGTTCACGATGCAGTTCGGAACACAGCCGATGAAAGAGAATTTAACTTGTAGGAGCTTACATAGAATTTTCCAGATACAGCATAGATTTCAATTAGAATACTCAAATTTATCTCAAAATTAGGTTTCCCACCACTTGGAAATTCTATTTTTATCCTAAACATGAGTTCTTTGTCTAAAATCGAAATATGAGGACTCATGTTTATTTTACTGGTATTAAATATTTTTTAGATATTAAACAGGAAATCCTATTTTTATATTAACTATTGTATTTAATAGAATAAAAAATTGAAAAGAGTAAAACACTTTGAATATTTTATAGAATAACGAAATCATTCTGAAAGTCAGCATATGTCTTGTTCAATTCTAATATAAAAATCAGGAAGAATATATTGGGAAAACTTTGAGTTTTTTACTTAGAGTATCACATTTTTTAAATATTACACTTCTAACTAGAATCCGTAATCATTTTGAGGAATTATATCCCAACAGGATTATATCCCAATAAGATTCCAGGAAATTTTCTAGACAGAAATTAATCAAAAACTAATTTTTTTCATAAAATCATCAGCGGTGTTCCAAACTAAACCAAGAAGAAGATGTTCAAACCGTTTTGAAATTAAGTGTATACATTATCATTTCGCGAAATCTCGCTTGCAAGGCAAATCACACAATCGTACCTTCAAAGTATTCATCAATCGTTGCGCTTCCGCGCGTCTCGATGCTTTCTCGGTCTCGTCGTGTATGCACTCGTCTTGTTCTTTTGTCGTGGACTTCGTGAAACCATCGCTTGAGAGTTCGACATTAGGCGAGTTATTATGAGCGGAACGCAACAAAGCCAACATGCCGGACGTTTTGGTATGAGCTTCCTTCTCGGCGTTCAGTTCACGCTTGAGTCTCTCCATTTCGGACGAGACCGCAGCGATAGCCCTCTGTCTAGCTTCCCTCTTCAGGGTAATCTCCTTCTTAAATTCTTCCAGACTAGCTGCACGCTGTGCATCTGATACACTTTCCGGCGAGTCTTCCATCAAATTCATCATATCTACAACATACACGAAGGAAAAATATTACTTGATTAATATGTTAATAAAACAAATACGTTTGGGTTGAAGGAAATAGAATTTCTCGTTCTTAAGGAACCAAATTTAATTCTTAATAATCAAAAATTCTGTTCCGTTTCTCATAAGAACCGAATTTAGTTCATAAGAATTAGAAATTCTGTTTCTGCTTCAGCCAAAACGCTCTTATAAATGCATTTTAAACTATAATTGCGCCATTGCCGCATTAATTTAATCAATCTTTCTCTCCCTTATGTATATAAATCGCTTATTGGTATACAGAATATTTTTTGTTCCGCAATAATGCGCGTAATATGTACCAATGTCCTCTTCCTCTTGAGCAGCCTCGTTGTTCTCCTCGTTTCTCCTCTCAGTCTTGACAGTTTCCTTCAGTCTTTGAATCTCCCTCAAAGCGTCCTCGAGAGCCTCAATCTGCTTCTTCTTGTCCGTGACCTCTTCGGTCAATTGTTCCCGCAGCCTCGAGATCTTTTGATTCTCCGCGTTCTTGATCCGCTCCGTCTCAAGCAGCGATTGCTGCAGGTTTTGCTCCAAAACTAAGATTCTCGTATCAGCAATGTTTTTCTGCGACTGGAAATCATCGATTTCACCCAATAATCTGCCGATCTCGCTCTTGGCGGAGTCCAGGTGTTCCATCAATTTGTCGTACTGCTGTCTGTGTTCGTGCAAATTAGCCTCGACGGTCACATATCGCGCTTTCAATTCCTGAACAAAGAAAGAAGCAGATAGAATATCCCTTAGAACGCGTCGACTTGACATCAGCGCGCGGAAAGTTTTCTTAAAAATCGAAATTTTCTTTAAATTATTCGAGGTAATAATTTTTTAAATTATATAATATATGTAGTTTTTCAAAATCTGTAAAACTATTATATTGCTCAAAAGATTTTTTAATTCTTATATTGCCCCTTCGTTCGCTCTCATACACACACATACTTGGAATATAGAAGCATTATTTTCTTACTATATTGAAGTAATCAGTGCATACATATCGAACGTATTTAACACTATTTTCTCTATCGAATGACCTCTCATATTGAGCGGTCATGTTTCTTATCAGACAATTTATGTTGTTTTTCAGTCATTATCAGACAACTCAACTTGAACTGGATATTTCATTTCTAAAAAGTAAGAGGATCGTTTCTGATTTTTTGTTCCTGCATAACGTCATAATTGAATATCTCGATATTCTAAGTTCTGTTCTTCTCAGCTGTACAGCTGCACTGGTACAATAGAGTGAGACAAATATATTTTATCTCACTTTAACTTATTGCAGCAGTGTAGCAACGCAGCTGAAAAGAACAGGCTAGTATTCATTGGGCTTCATGTTCATATATGATCTTTAGAAGATATTGGTTTTTCTCCATATCCTTGTATGGGATGTTTTATTGAAAATTTAAGGCAATTAATTGGTTGAGCATGTTGGCCAGTGAGTACCAACACAATTTACTTTTGATATATATGATAATATTCTAACATACTCCCCAAAATTTCTTGAAGTAAAACGGATGAAAAGTGGCAGCATTTTCACTTGAAGCGATAATAAAATACTACGTTCAAAATCGCGAGGGTGAACGTTTCATTCAAGCTTAGAATGGACTCTGTTTCTATATAAACGAATGTTTTCACAAATTAGTGTAAATATATTCCAGTAACGATGGAATACGCTAGATTTATCCTTCAGTTCCGAGTGAAAATATTTATTCAATGATGCAAAGTGGAGAATTCATATATGAATAAAAAGTTGCTAAAATTCTAATAACTCGGCTGATACGCTAATTATTTCGTAAAATTTAACTCAGAATAAGTTTTTATCCATAAAAATAAATATCTAATCGATTAGAGCGAATTGTTCTGGTTGCAGTGGAGTATGTCAAATTCACTTTTATCTTTCAAGTGAAAATATTTACTCGACGATTTAGAGTGGAGAATTCACTCACACAATATGAGTAACTTAGTTAGATGATATAAGTACACGGAATAAAGTATACTTTATTAACACGGGTCAGTTTGTGTGTGTGTGTGGAATAATTTTAGTGTATTGATTTAAATATGGGAGGTAAAAGTCTAATAAAAGATAACAAATAATGGTCTAACAACTAGAAATGAGGAATGAATAGATACGTACGTGGTTAAGGAATATGAATGTAAACCAAGTCTATACTTCTTGGTTATGTAAGCTAAAAGAAAACCTACAGATACACGCAAATTGAGTGAAAAATCATTTAAATTTGAGTAACTCTCGGTGGTCCTTACTTCTTCGATAAAATTTTACTTCAAAAAATTCAGAGTAGTTTATTTCTTCTTTGAAAATTTTCCATATTTTGTACAGCTTAACATTCTTCATCTAATGTGGCAAAACAAATGTACTGATTTTGTATTGTTAATTAAAAGAAAGAACCTTGATTTCCTGTTTACTTTGTTTAATAATAATAATAAAAATCGATTGAAGTGTCACGGTACCTCGTAATCCCCGCTCAACTTCTCCACCAGATTCTTCTGATCAGTCAGACTGCTCAGCAGCCTCTCATTCGCACTTTGACATTCTAATCGATCGACCTTCAGTCTTTCGATATCCTCCGACAACCTAAGTACCTCCTCGCCCGTCGAACTCTTCATCGAATCCTGCTCATCGCTCCTCGATCTTGTGCGTCTTCTGCGCAGTTTATCTAAGTCTACGTTCGTGGAACGTCTGCTTTCGTCTATTCTAGGAACATTCGTCTCGCCATTGTTGGAGCAAACATTGCAACATCTACGAGCGTCTGTTCCTTCCTTCGTCGCTCCCAAATCCTCGTCGCAATCATCGAGCAGTTCGCTAATTGCATCTCGTTCGTTGACGCGACTCGTTCGCTGTTCCGGCGAGTCGTAAGACGACTCCTTGGACCACGAACGCTCGTCGTCTTTTGTGTCTTTCGTTTTCGTCAAGCTTTCCAGCCTCTCGATTCTGACGCGCAGTCTGTCGTCTTCATGTGAATCTCTCTGTTTGTTGCATTGTCGTGCGTAACTCGTCGCCAGCAGACTCTCCAGTTTGACGACGCGTTGCTCCAATTTTCGCGTGTCTTCTCTCCCGACAATTGCCTCTTCCGGTTCCTCCCGCAGTCTCCTACTGAGAATGTCGTCGCACATCTCCGCGGTGTCCGTCGGAATCACACGCTTCCGGTATTCCCGTTCCTTCGACAGTTCCAGGTACAAGGCCTCCATACGCGCCAATGTTGCGTTGTGCGCGCTCGCTAATTGATGATTGGCCATGGCCAGCTGTGAAATCACTCGCGAGAGCTCCATTACTTCGTTATTCTGTTGATACGTCGGGGGACCGTGACCATCGGCGGGCTGCCAACCTGTCATTTGCGTGGCATACGTTAACTGCAATATAAATAAGTGGACCGTAATGGACTCTAAGACTCTGATTTGTATCAAAGAAATCGCGAATGCACGAATTAATTGTCACAGGCACAATTGTCAATCGCCTCGGATGGATCTCGAAATCTTTTGTTTTCTAAAGGTGCAATAGTAACGATGACAATTTTCCAAGTTTAATCGAGTGACACCACCAACGTGAGTCATCATTGATGCACCAGAAAAGGGAGTGGAGAAAACAAAGGAAATTTTTTCTCGTGATTCGCGAGGATTTTCCTCGGAAACTTCAGATCTAAAGGCGCGATTAATGAGGCTTACTGGACTTATTTCCCGGGGAGATAGATTCTTCCGGCGCTTTCGGAGTGGTATGGTCTGGCCTGGTCGATTCGCAATAGTGTACTGGCATAAAGCGCAACACTGTGCGTCGTGCGAACCGCGGGACCAAGCACGTGATCGCGATCGATGACTGTGGAAACGGCTTTTCGTGACCGTGAGTCAGCGTGTTCCTCCGAAATCACGGTTTGGAGCGCGGCCAGATCCGCCGCGGCTAACCAGAAGCGGCGGGGCCACCGCGGGACAAAAGGCGCACTGTCGTCGCGCGGAAAAATCGCGGATACAACCTAGCCGTTGGCGCGATGGCAATGCCCGGGTTTAATTTAGCCCGCGATCTCACGTGTCCTGGACAGGCGCAGCGCGCGACGGTGCCGGCGCGTAGAGGACAGTCGAGACAAATATCGTTAGTGGCGCGAGCTCGGCGACGTTGATGTCGCGATTAATAAAAGTCATGGACTTATAGAGACAGACTGTGCATTCCCATTAGAAGTCTGGAGACAGCATTACTAACAGAGGACAATAAAGAGTAAGATGTTTCTTTTGCCTAATTGTCTGTCCAAATAGACAAGTACACATACATTTGATAGCAACTTTATATATATATAGTTGCTATCAAATACATATAAAATTGCTGATAAAATTGCTTTATATATATATATATATATATATATATATATATATATATATGTGTGTGTTTTTTTTATATACATATATATGTATTAATCAATTTTTAATAGTTGCATCCCTTATGAGTGGTCCATATGACGCTCATCTATTCATCATGACTATTCATCATGTAGAATGATAAAGTTAGAATATGAAAGAAATACGACAAAAATGATCAAAATTTGCTTAAAACAATATATTAAATAAAATATAATATGAAAATCTAAGTGTGTTTTAGTAAATTTATAACCATGTCAATATGACAAAAAGTTTACTATATATGTAATAAAGCAATTTTATATATATTTGATATAGCAACTTTATATATATATATATATATATATATATATATATATATATGTTTTTTTTATATACATATATATGTATATTAATCAATTTTTAATGGTTACATCCCTTATGAGTGGTTCATATGACGCTCATATTCATCATGTAGAATGATAAAGTTAGAATATGAAAGAAATACGACAAAAATGATCAAAATTTGCTTAAAACAATATATTAAATAAAATATAATATGAAAATCTAAGTGTGTTTTAGTAAATTTATAACCATGTCAATATGACAAAAAGTTTACTATATAGTGTGAACTTAATGATTAATTCAATATACCTTATTCAATGTATATTTGTTTCATAAGTGTAATTAACCAAATTCTAGATAGAAATTTAGTACAATTTTTGAGCAATTTTCAAATATATTGAACAGCTATGTTAACTTTTATGTAGTAACTAAGCAGTAAAACTACACACACACTTGGGATCTTAATTAAGATAACACTTTTCCTACATTTAATGCGCACAAAAGATGCGCAAAATCTGAACCCATTTACTGAATAAAAACAGAACAATAAATAAATAAAAAATTACTCGATTGATAATAATCACGTCTGCTATTCATAAAATGGACAGGTTTTCTCGAATAGTATTTTCATTTTTTGTGCATGTTTTTTTCTGATTGAAAAATTGTGATTCTAATGAAAGTCGTAAAACAGGAGATTTTTGGTGCGTAATATTTTTACATTTTTCGCCTTTTATACGACATCTTTCGCAATTATCAAATGACATATAACTTTTTATTTATTCTTCTAGTTGTTTATTTCAAGTTCTAAGCTTAAACTATCATGATAGTTTTCATCTATATCATTATCATCAAAATAGTCTAATGTGTTCTCACCGCAATAAAATTCTGTATTATTAACATGTATACCATTTGTCTTTTGTTCACTTTTATTTGTGACCTTGACTGTCATCTCTGTCACAGGACTTAATATAGCCACTGTCTCATTTCCTTTAATTTCCTCTTTCATACCCTCTATACGTTTTTTCTACACGTTTACTCATTGTTCACGCAACTTTGAGTTCCTTTTTAACAATGTAAATAAATATATTTTAAATTTATTCACGATAAATATTATAATACGTGCACATTATAAAACTGAATTAATGTTACTATATCTTGAAAAAAACTGGTCCACATATTGTACAATAAATTGCTTGAACCATTGAATAAGACTGCGTCAAGTTCTTGTCCAATCCTCTACGCAGTATTTTTACAATCAATGAGAATACATTAACACTAAACAATAACTAGAAATGTTTATCAGGGATTGTAAAGTTGCATTATCAATTGTCTCACGTCTCAATAATTACGAAAATCTATCTGAATAACTGTGATGGGGTGAATGAAGGAAGAGAAGCGACTATATAATTAAAACGTCCTCTTTTTCTTTCACTGCATTTCACTTCCTCTCTTTTGTTTGTCCCTCTCGTTTGTTTGTCCATCCACTTCTACGATACTGTATGACGGAGAAAACACCTTACTCAACATATCTTTGTCCCTTACTCTTGTCTTCAGTCGCATAAGAATGCGCAATCTGTTTCTATAAGTCCACACCTACACGTCACTAGTTTCGCCGTCAGCGGAAACGGCGAAACGCTGTTGTGCAAACTCAACGTACGGGAGTGAAACGAGAACAACAAAAGCGAGAAAGCAACAGAAAAGGAACAACGGCTCACCGAAGTCTCGCGTTTAGGCGGTACCATGCTCGATAGACTCGGCGCAGTTGGCCTCTGACCCCAGAATTCATCCGCCCTCAAGGTCGTATAGGGGCTCGGACCCTGCACGCCGAATTATCAAATAAGCTCAGTGCAGAATTCGTGTTATTTATTTCTTTTTTTCTTATTAGCAATATACCTGCGATGACCGTGGCTCATCCTCCCCGTCGCAGACGCTCGTCCCGACGCGCGTTCTTTGTCTCCCGATGTCGCTCGTGAGGTGAGAGTCTCGGGGACACGAAAATGTTTCCGCTTCATGTTGGCTCGTGGAGATCAAAGTGGGCGATCGTGTGCCGCTGCTGCTACTCGTCGCACCCATTGTTTCAATTTTCCACTTACCAGAGTGACAACTACACGGATGCTTCGGTAATTTGCCTACAAACGATCACGTCGAATGTCTAATTCGCTCGCTCGCATTTCAAAGCACTGTCAGAGCTGAACACGTCGGCGATATTAGGTGTGGGATCGCCACGAGGAAAAGTTCTCTCATCTGTGCTGTGTCAGGTTTTATTTTTAGCAGTCAATTTGATCTGGATTAGTCGCGCCGACATGAAAAATTGCAGGAGAAATAACAAAAGGAAACGGTCAAAGAGTCCGCATTCAACACGGAGCTCTTGATTTCGACACGAGAACAACGGATAGTCATTAGGTGTGTTCGTTAGGTGTGGAAGTAAGCGCGATATACACAATACGCTCGACGTCACAGGAGGATTTGCGTAAATGAGGCTCCGATATGTCGAACAACAGGCTGCGTGTTATCATTTAGTAGCAGAGACAAGCCGGTAACTTCCATTTTTTTTTATAAGGACGACAATCACGTGGGTGAGTCTCAGTTTGTGACGGCTAAGATCCAAAATAAAATCGCTCACCAATGGTCAATCGAAAGGTCGTGAAATTCGTGGGTTCGGTTTCTCGAGAGTCAACGGCGATACTTGACTACCGTCGTTTCTAGCGGCCAGCGACTCGCATCTCTAAAAATACCATTTCGAAAGACCGCCTGCGCAAACCTGACGACGTCGTACCTTCGGTAGCACGTTCTCGCGCAGACGCGCCGTCGGCTTCCGCACGTATTTATCGACACAGGAAGTCCCATGCAGCTTCCTCAATCGCGAGAACGTGGATTTATGTGAAGAAAGCTTCCTAAGAAAAATCAATTAATCAAGCATTGTCGATTTTAATTAGAGGCTTATAAAAGGCGAACACAAAGTCAGGTCGCGTCAAAACATTAACAATTGTCGGTCTAAATAAAAAGAAAACAGTCGCATATAAAGACGACTTAACAAAAACAAAAATAAAAAATTATGTATTAGTAAAAAGGTTAATCAGTTTGTTTTTTAACAAGCTTTGCGACATATTAAAAGAATTGATACAATTGAAAAAATCACTAGCTAGCAAGCTCAATCAATTAATAGGTTTAAATTTCCGTATAGCGTGCTATGCCAAGAAACGGAAAAGAGCGAACACTTTTTGAGATACTGTCTTAGGATTATCGTAAAGAGCAAATGTCGCTTGCAATGTGTGTAACAATTTCAACCTTTGAGGTCGTAGAGTGTTTTTAATGTTTAGATCAATACGCCTTTGTGCCAAATGTACAGAATTATTTAATACGTTAACACGAAATTTCTTCTTGAAGCATGATGTCATTTTATTTAAATACTTGAAAGTTACGAAAGTTACGAAAGAGAACTGTTTGGTTCTTAGAAATGAAATAATGCAAAGGTGACTCAACGTAATATAAATTCATCTTACCACAAATTTGATTTGTAAAATCACTCACTATTTTCAGGCGCCTTTAACGATGCAAACAGCACCATACATGCACTTGGAAAAACGTAAACGGCCTAACAATAGCGCAGCGTGTACTCTATATTTAGATAGTTTTTCGAACTGTTCGCCATCGTCATCGCTATACGTCTTTCGAAACGAGGACGTCGTTCTCACCACGTTTTCATTTGTCAAATCGTATACTCGATTGTACATGAATATTTCGTTTGGAGAAAATAATAATCAATATATCTAATTAATACTTTAGTTATAGATATATTGATATATTACTTTAAATTCTTTTATTGTTGGCAAACATATATTTTTTACACAATTTAATTTTCTAAATATATGAAGTAGTGGAGGTCCGGTTGTCATATTTTTTACATAATGGTAAAAAATAAGATGTATGCAATATTTTATAATATGGTGCGCATTTTAATGTAGCTCTAAATATATATAATTTTCCAGATAAAAGAAAAAATATTATCCTTATATGTATTCATAAATAAAATTTTATAAATTCATAAATAAAATTTTATTTTAAAATTTTATTTTAAAATTATAAATAAAATTTTATAATTCATAAATAAAATTGTATTCATAAATAAAATTTTTATACATATTTATACATAAAATTTTTATATGTATTTATACATGAAATACTTATATGTATTTATATATAAAAAAGCTTTTCAGTTGTAACCAATGCGCGAAGGAGGAGCGAAGTCCGCATCCCTTCTCCAAAAAACTAATCCTAACCTAATCCATCATGTACGGTATTTCATTAAATAGGTTAGGTTAGGTTGGATTTAATTTTTTAGGAGGAGATGAGGAGGGAGGGGCTTTGCATATACGTATATTGTTTACTATATTTCTATATACACTGTGTGCAAAAATTATGTCCCATTTATAAAAAAAAAATTAATAACTTTTTAACAAATAATGAACAACGCATAAAACTTTTTGAATGTTATTCAGGGGTAATATCTTGATAACATATATTAAGAGGAGCTTATCGGAGATGGCTCCCCTAATGTAAACAATTACCAAACGAACAACTTGAACAGCTCGTTGGTAAGTCAGAACGCCGCGGATAAAGTAGCGAACGCGACAGCTCTTTATCAAACGTGGATACATTGTTCCGGAGGTAAAAGGCGCCGCTGATGAAGTTCCACGGTCAGTTTTTGATACGGGAACCCGGTCGAAGCGTCCGGTATCTTATCGGCAAGTTGCACAGCGGCGTCTGCAAGAACATGACGAGCGGAGAGTGAGTCTAGGTAGCCTTTCTCAGCGCACGTCACCTCGATAGTCTTCTTCTCCCGCCCAACGACATGTACCTCGACTCTCCGATGAGGAATAAAACAAAATCCGACTGTATTTCCAATCGTTCGCACATCCAACAACAGTCCCTTCCTTTCCCAACTTTTCCTCGATAATCTCGCAAGGTGCGAATCACTTGAGGTCGCGCGCGCGCGCGCTCAGGTGCCGCACTGCCGGCGGCCGCGTACCGATCGGCCCGACAAGGCCGTCGCGCGCGTTGGGAGTCAGTCAGCGTTCGCGCACGAATGCGACGATACGGACGGCCGTCGTGGCGGGTTTGCACTCGGCGCCGCGCTCACCGGAGCAGCTCGTTGGAGCAGAGCTGACGACGTATCTCGTTGGAGCGAAACGGGTGGCAGACGAGCGGCGGAAGACGCCCGTGCCCGCCGTTCCTTCCTTCGGCACGTCGCTTCTCGCGCGTTCTCTCCTAGCGGGAGTCTCCGCGAGTACCTCCACGGAACACGACGCGTCCAGAAGGCGCACCGCCGGCCAACCGCGACAACAGGGGCTGTGACCTGCTTCCGCGCTGTATCCTCGCAGCGGTCCGACGGCAGGCGGACGACCCGAAGGTGAGCGCGAACCCGCAGGTCCACGTCGTCGTCGGGTCGACCGGACGCCGAGGGGAGAGGAGATCCCTGGCGACCCGAGGGAGAGATTTTTCTTCGTTGCGGTTGACTCCAGCGACGCGACGATTTTGGCGGGTAATTGACAGCGTACGCGCGCTCGGTCGTGGCGTGCAACAGTCTACCCGAGACACGGCGGCTTTTGACAGCTCATTCTCCTCTCTCTCTCTCTCTCTTTTTCTTTGTCGCGGTTAGGTGTGTTCGTTCGTTAACGAGCGACCGACGCGTGTCTAAAGTATCCGGCAAGGATACCACATTCCCAGTCGCCGAGCGTTGTGTGTGTGTGTCGAAATAACACGTAATTAAGACACCAAACTCGCTGTTGTGATACACGCGCGCGTCTATCGCAGGGCTCGGCGATTACTACGTAAGCCGATTATAAGGCGTTGTTAAAGAACAACAGGAAAGATCGCGGAACAGTTCGCGTTACGTTCTCGAGACGCGGTCTCTATCCGCCGAGATATTTCGAATCGTCACACCGTGTTTCTCACTCTTTCATTTGTCCACGCGATCATTCGGCGAGCTCGTTGCACGAAGATTGCGCACCTCTGTGTGCAATCATATGCGCGAATTAGACGTCGCGGAAGAGAATGTCTCTCCGGAATTGTCGTTCTCCTAAGTGAGACGCGATTTCGCCTTCGCCCAACGGAACGTCGTTTTACGACGTAACGAGAACGTAACGTTGGTCGCTCGCTCGCTCGTCGAAGAGTACAGTTATCGGGAACAGTTCGCGATAACGTTCGCGTAGAGAGGAAAATAGAGAGTCGGCAGGCAAGGCCGATGCCGATCGCATGAGGAGGAAAACGTATTAGACGCGCAGTAAAAACCGCAAGCGGCACGAAGATACGCCTAAGCGCGTATAGATCGCCTTTGTTGACGGCGTTCTCTCTTCCTCATTACGGAAGGTCGAGAAGTCGATGCACATCGACTTCCCGTGACGCGAGGTGCGCGGCGCGGCGCGGTGCGCGGCGACCTTGATCGCGCACGTCGCTCGGTGCCACCGATATAGAGGTACGCAAGACCCGCACGTCGACGTCGATAATTCGCGTTGTACTCTCTCTCTCTCTCTCTCTCTCTCTCTCCCTCCCCCCCCTCTCTCTCTCTCTCC